CGCCTTACCAACGCCATCCAGACGTCTTGCCCTGCCAGTACCTCCCAGACGTCTTGCCCTGCCAGTACCTCCCAGACGTCTTGCCCTGCCGGCCCCAGCCCGGCTCCTTGCTCTGTCGACTCCAGCCCGGCTCCTTGCTCTGCCGACCCCAGCCCGGCTCCCAGCTCTGCCGGTCCCAGCCCCGCCGGCCCCAGTCCAGCCGCCTCCAGCCCCCCCGGCTCCAGTTCAGCCGCCTCCAGCCCCGCCGGCTCCAGTCCAGCCGCCTCCAGCCCCGCCCGCTCTAGTCCAGTTGCCTCCAGCCCCGCCAGCTCCTGTCCAGTTGCTTCCAGCTCAGCCGAATCCAGTCCAGTTGCCTCTCATACAGCTGGCTCCCCACAGACCTCCTGCCTTGTATCTCCTGTTGGATTGTCCCTGGGTCATCCCTCCCGCTCCTCCCTGTTGTGCCTCTTCGCTACTCGGGACGAACCCTCCGGCTACAACCTGGTTTCCTGCCGGGGCACCTGAACCCCCCCTGGACGTTTTCTTCTGATCCTCCCTGGTCTGACCCTCCCATCCCTCCCCTTGCTCCTCCAATTGTACACCTGTCACACTCTAAAATTGAATATTAATTTGGTTAAGAGATTATTAGAAAACAAATAAACTGAATTTGTATATTAAATAGAGCATGAACTTATACATTGTGAATACACTTTTAATATGTGATAAGAACTTTTTAAATATTTTTTTTAAATGTGTGTGGTGATGGAAATGACAGTAGTAAAAATGACGTTTCAACAGTTTATTGTGAAAAAATGAAAAATAGCTTCACAGATTAGCTTTGAGTTGATACTAGCCTTTCATGTATACAAAACACTCTTATTTACCTTCATTTTGTTCAGCATGTTTGGAAATGATGTAGAATAAATGTATTTCCTTATCAAGCAGTACCTTCATTTTTCTTCAAGTGTTGTTGATAAAAATGTAAATTCCTTCCATCTTGAAGATGTTCTCATATGGCACTATTCATTTTCATAGAAACCACCTAAATAATCTCACACAAACTTTTTAAAGCGACATTACAGTGTTGTGGTGGAAATGACACTGATATATTGTATAAAAAAGTAATAATGATAATAGTCTCACATTAATAACTATAATATATTTAAATGATTTCACTAGTGCTTCATTAAGATACATTAATAGATACCAGATAAATAATATTTTATATGTTATTTTCATTGTTGAAGTTTAAAACACTGGGTGTGCGACAAGGTGAAAACAGTCATTTTGAAACCTAAAAGGAGGTTGAATAATATGAAAATATATAATAAAAAGCTAGTATTTTTTTAAGTAGGTTTTATTATTAGTTTGACAAAGTAAGAGGAATTTGAACAAAATTATATATATATATATATATATATATATATATATATATATATATATATATATATATATATATATATATATATATATATATATTTGAATATATGATCAAAGGACCTTGAAGTGCCCGTAGTTGAAGAATTACACATATATTATACTATATACTACGCCTGTCTAGAGCTAACTTACTTGAACTGTCTCAATCACCGCTTTTATCAAATGTTCAATCTGCATCATTCTCATGGTCACTAAAACCCATCTCACCCTCATTTTACTGCAGGAAGAGCCAGTTCTGACCTTTTCTTCTTTCACTTACCATAGAACATGGTGGTGCTCGCTAATACACTGTTTCCTGTATTCAAAAGTAGTATTGCCATTAAATCTAGATATTATCCATAATGCAAATGCCTTTAACACATGACTAATCAACATTATAATACTAGCATTCATAGTGTTATTGTTACAACTTAAAAGATCACAGCTGACCTTGCTAGCTAGCTAACCCATAGCAATATTGCACATTACCGTCAGTCACACAGTTCATGCATAAAGCTCTCATCTGTGAAGCTGATTATCTAAGAGCTGTGTGGTGCAGGAACAGATACTGAGAACAAAGTCAAGACATTATAAATTCTAGAGCACTTTTAAAATGTAGACTGTGACAAAGCAGCTAACATAGATGAAGAATCGAGAATGAAATCAATTTTAGGAGAGTGGAGGTCAAATGCTGCTGTAGTTCTACTTAAATCAAAACCAATTAAGTTCAGTTTTATTCACTTCAGTTTAATACAAACATCATCATTAAAGCAGTTTCAGTTACATTCACTTCAGATGAATACAAATGGGTGAAGCTGTAGTCTGGATGATGGAGGGTTTGATGAGTATGAGCATCCATCATGGACGGTAGGCTTATTGACACTTCTGGTGGCACATCTGGAGGGCTTGATCGTGGATATGGTGCAGTTCCAAGTAGGTCACCAGGCAGATGTTTAGACAGCCAACAGGATCAATGCAGAGATTCGTCTATACCTTTAATTAAATGACACAACATCTGATGCACAGAAGCCATTGCGCCTGTTAATATGCTTGGCGACTGGTGTCAGTGGATAGCGGCATGTGCCACTGGAGCTTGTGACGTGCGCTGATGCGTTGCGTCCTGTGTCACTGAGATTGTCGCAGTACATGTCGCTGTGTGGCTCCTCTAGTGGTGACTGACAGCTCCTGCTGCTGCTGCTGACGATGCTGACTGCTGACTGAGCATGAAGTAGAGGTCTGCAGAGGTCAGATTTCTGCGGCGCGGGAATACATTTTCGAATAAAGCGCGGAAGCGGTCGATAACTGGTTGTATTTTGGACGGGAGCGGGCCGAAATATAGCGCCAAACCCACGCGAGCAAGCGAGCGAGCATGCATATGTACGTGTATGAATGAGACAGCGTTATGCTATGTTTTTCGTTGTTGCTGTGTGTGTGTATGTGTGTGTGCGTATGAGAAGTGTGTGTGTGCGCATAAATGAGAGAGCTTTGCCTGTGTGTGTGTGTGCTTCGTGCTTGTGTGTGTGTGTGTGTGTGTGTGTGTATGCTTGTGTTGTGTGTTTATACAGACAGCTTGTAATAGGCTGTCTGGACTCTGTATAGCTGGGTGGTTTTCGGTTTTGTTCTCATCCCACCCCCTCTTTGAGCGGGATCGGGCGCGGCGGGTAGAAAATGGGGCAGGGCAGGCAGCGGGACAAAAAATGCTGAATATAAGCGGGAGCGGTCGGGTTCGGGCTAAAACCTGGCGGGAGCGGGATTCAAATTTGCAGATCTCTAGCATGAAGTAGGTTGTGTAACACACACACTCAACGACAGAACAATATTTCATATTATATTAATATTAAATATAATTACGATATTGTATGACAATTATATTAACTACAGATCAAAATGATATAATATATAACAAAATAATAATCATATAGTATTCAAATTATTATAAACTATCTAAATGATTAGCCCTCCTGTGAAATTGTAATTCTTTTAATAATATATTTATATAAATTTCATCTAAATATTATAATATTATAAACTATATATTATATATTTATATGTACACGTGTTTCTAAGTTGAAGAATATTTTAAAAGCATATAAAACATAGTTTGAATAACTAATTTTCAATAATAAATGTCTTGGGAACACTTTACAATAAGGGAGTATGAGTTAATGTTAGTTACTGCATTAGGTAACATGAATTACCAGTGAACAACACATCAGTTATGCAACACTTAATCGTTGTTAATGTTAACTAAACATATATTAATCTGCTATTTAATACATGATGTAACACGAACTGATGCTGAGAAATGACTATTATTCAACACTACATATTATTTGTTAATGTTAACTTACTCGTCTTCTAATGCACCACTTCACATTCATTCTTTATAATTACATAACGTTTACCTACACATACATTAATGCTAATTAATCTAATTAATCTAATCAGCAATACTAAATCTCACATGTAAACTAAACACTAGAGTTAATTATTAATACATTATTGAACACACTAGTTAATGCATTAGTTATATAATGACCATATATAATTAATATAATAATAAACAATAAATAAGGGTGTCACACCAGATGACAACAAAACTATTTTTTAGTGGTTTCAAAAAAGTGAATTATGTGATAAAGTTCAATTATGACAATATTAATAATATTCATTTTTGTCATGTGTGACGGTGAAAATGCAAAGTGATGTCGACGTACATTGCAGTGTTCATTTGTACAACAATATTAGGCTTCTGTATTTTAAAATTAGTTTCATGTCCCTTTAAATGTATTAGGTCATTTATTTAGGATTTTGTATCACGTACATCTATTCCAGTAATTCCTCACTTTACTTTTTCCAGTGGATAATTAACTAAAAGAAAGCAACTAGTTATTCATGTTAAACTTTTGTATAAAACTGCACTTCTCATGCAAATTGATGTTTTTGCACTTTCTACTTTGTGAAATGAACTAAATGAAAACTAAACATTCAAAAATTACACATTTATTTTTTGTTTTTGCTTCAATCAAAATTATTTTCAAATATGTTTTTTTATAATTTTTGTGCATTCTCAAATCTTCAAATTACACCTTAGAAATGATCATTTTAATTTACAGAATTTTTATAATTCTAATATAATTTATATAAGTTTTTATAATTATATTTTCTATCTTTTTGCATTATATTTCATTTTTATAAGCAGTGTTGCTGACATTAGCACAATTACATTACAGTATGTTTAGTGAACGACAAAATAATAAAACACTTAAGTAAAATCTCTAACTTGGTGATTTTTAATTAAACCAAACTACATATTTTACATTATTTTCAGATTTTTTCTTTAAACAAATTATCTTACGCTGTTTTAGCATTACAGTGCAGTAATAATAATAATATTTCTAAGCCCAGTATGTTGTATAAACAAACTCTGCATTGTAATAAATATTATTTTTGGTGGTTTTTATATTAATAATGAAATATTGTTCTGTTGTTAAATGTGTGTGTTACACAACCTACTTCATGCTCAGTCAGCAGTCAGCATCGTCAGCAGCAGCAGCAGTAGCTGTCAGTCACCACTAGAGGAGTCACACAGCAACATGTACTGCGACAATCTCAGTGACACAGGACGCAACGCATCAGCGCACATCACAAGCTCCAGTGGCACATGCCGCTATCCACTGACACCAGTCGCCAAGCATATTAACAGGCGCAATGGCTTCTGTGCATCAGATGTTGTGTCATTTAATTAAAGGTATAGACGAATCTCTGCATTGATCCTATTGGCTGTCTAAACATCTGCCTGGTGACCTACTTGGACCTGCACCATATCCACGATCAAGCCCTGCAGATGTGCCACCAGAAGTGTCAATAAGCCTACCAGAGTGTGCCAGTGGTTTCTGTCCATCAGGTGTCTATCTTTTTGCTGAACCACTTATGATCAATAATATCCTCCAAAGTGGGTCCATCGTCAACATTAAAACCGAAGCACATTTTCAGAAGATCTCTGCATTCTATAGAAACGGAGAGAATTGATTAATCCTGTATGTTCTCACATGCCTAACATGAAAACTGTATATGAAGTTAGACTTAATTTCACATTTTTACAGTCTTGACAACACTGTCCAATTATATCTGAACAGCACTTTATCTTGAGTTATTGTCTCACCTTTGGATACACTGGGGTGAAATCTTGGATACTCAACCATAGAGCGAAGGGGCCAATATCCATTCACCATCCTTGCCAGGAGTCTTGCCACACACTCAACAGTTTCTTGTAGAGCAACATGTACATTTCTCAAGCCACCAACTTCTACTAGACGAGAATGCCACATACATTTGCAGTAGATTTGGTCAAATCCTGTAAGCAACAGATTTGTGAGTTAGAAGAGTAGAACAGCAATTTATAATAATTAAGCCATCAAAACTATTTCATTACAAGTGGTCAATGTAAAAGTAGGAGATCAATAAGCTGGGATTTTAATAAGCAGCATTAAAAAACTAAAAACAATCAGTGCAAATTCTCCAGCATAACAGCCAGCATGAATTGTAAAATCTAGAACTGCCGGTGACCAGCAATACCAGAGGTTTCAGCAGGAGAGGTGAAGAGAAAAGCATCTTACCAGCGTGCGGTTTTAAGTGGCCCCGAATGTAATCACTGCAGCCAAAACCAATCAACTTGACTTGAAGGGTCTTTGGATTCACCAGGATGTTTTCTTCATAGATTGCTCTATGGTCAATGCCATGCTCCAGGCAGTGTTCTAATGCAATTAGGATCTGCAGGATCAAGTGTCGCGCTACACTTTCAGTCAAGGGACCATTGTTTCTCCTGAAGAATGCAGTCAAGGTCATACTCGGCTGCATGTACTCCATGACCAAAACATCATATTCCTCCACTTCAAAAAAGTCATACAACTCTATGATGTGGGGACATAAGGAAGGCTTCTTCAGTTCAAGCATTATTCTGGCCTCCGAAGTCGGGTAAAAGACACGTCCAGGCTAGAGAAAAATATTAGAAAAAGGTTAGAGCATGTGAACTGTATAATGTATCTGCACAATTATAACTGTATAATATAATGTGTTTAATATAGATTCAACACATATTCAGATATATTCTTTGTGTTGTGTTTACTTACTTTCCGATTTATGTAACAGTTCGGCATATAAACGAATTTCAGGGCAACCTGCAAAAGAAACAAAATATTAATATTTTTTCCCCAAAGCAATGAAAAAAACAATCATAATAAATCCAATAATACATGTGTATAATCCAACATGGACATGCGTCCATATGCACACCACTCTCTTTACAAGAAGAAAAAATTAAGTAAACAACATGTGCAGCAAAAGTGACTTACCTTTTTTCCATCAGATTTGCGTGTTGCCACGTAGACAGTGCCATAGATTCCCTTTCCTAGCTTCCTTCCAAGCTCATATTTGTCAAGAGGAGATCCTGAAAATCAAACAAAAGGATTATGACAGTTTACCAGGATTGCTCATTTCTGTTTTTGTCTTACTGTGATAGTAGGAGAATATATTTCTGTTGAGGTTCAGCGTGCTATAAAACTGTGTTTGCTTACTGACAAAAATATAAAACTTAAAAATGCCAAAACTGACATTTTGGCCTCCAGATGCCGAAGCGCAGATGTTTCAAAACTAGTGCTGGGAAAAAATTGATCACGATTAATCATAGTATATTTATTATATATATAGACACATGCATGCAAACGATTTACATAGATTTAGCTACAAATTCATATTTATTAGTCAAACTGCTATAAACACCCACACACACACACTTCACCAGCACGTTCGTGTCTCTCTATGTGTGTACGAGACTTTGCATTGACTCTTTTGGCAGCTTTTCCATGCGTTTTACATCTCAGATAATGAAGTCGCAAAAGATATGTAGATGATTTATATTACATACACCTGCATATTCCGGATTTATGTGAAAGACATCGTGTGACACGTTTAGTTAAAAACACAGGATACCTCTCCTAACTCTCGTGAAGCAGCAAAAAATAAATCAAGGCTCACACAGGTCACATCCCACATCTTGTGCTCTATTCTTCTTTCAAGATATCTTACAGAAAATAACTTAATCCAAGCATCAGAGAAAAAGAAAGTCTCGCGCACATGCGCTTGTTACAGAAAGTTCACACATTCACACACACACAAACACACACACATAGACACACACAAAGGCAAGGTCTCTCAAAGGAGCTGCACCCCATTTTTACTTGTTACAGACACTTGTCAGATTTTATTTTAGAGAGCAGGCAGGAAGTTGACTGACTGTTTAAACAGCAGAAAAGTGCGTGCTTGTACGGGTGTGACGTGGAGCCGATCCGCGAATCGCAGCACATTATGACGATGACCAATCAGAGTCACTTGAGGGCGGGCCTTTCAGAGGAACTAGGAAATATATCAGTTGTTTTCATGTTAGCAGAGAAGCTGTTTAGAATCAAAGTGAGATTTATGAAAAAATAAGATGATTTCCTTCAAGTGAAACATGAGCACACATTGCTGTGCATCTTATTAACACAACCAAGCCTTAAAATTACATTCTGGACCACTCCTTTAAAAAACACATCAAATATCAATACTAATGTAGGATAATATTATGTTCTAAGAACTTTCTGTCCCCAGAGTTATACATGCTGTATTTACAGATTAATGAACGCTAAAAGCAATGTGTCTGATGCTTTCCTACTTTTTGTCTTATTAGTGAAGTTAAATGAGCACTGAGACTATAAGCCCCTTTTCCTTGTCTTCCATGTTTTGGGAATAATGAGAATATTTCCATCACTGAAATGTAAGACTCTCCATTGTTGGTTTTTGTCTGTTTCTGCTGAGAGAAAATTCTCATTTAACATTAATTTGAATTCAGCAATTTATTATTTAAAAAGTGAATTAATTAAACTAAGAAGTAACTCGCTTTACATTTTTTCAAATAGTAACTCAAAATTTTTACTGAATACTTTACTCATTACTTAGAAAAGTAAGATTATTAGGTAACTCACGTTACTTGTAATGCGTTATCCCCAACACTACATATATATTATATAACACACGCACATATATTATGTCAAAACAAACTTTTATTTAGACGTGATTAACCGTGATTAACCTTTGCTCAGCACCATTGAAACACTGATCTAAAACACAAGTGTCACATACATTCGGTGATCCGAGACTTGACATCCTTTCTAAATCTGCATTTGATTGACTGAAAATCCACACAATCGCACACAGCCTAGTGGGCAGTGCGGCAACATGTACTGTAACTACAGCACATTGCAGATGCTCTGAGTTCAAATCCTGGCTTGTGGACCTTCCTACTCTTTCTCTTAAACTTTGCATTTATTTACAAAGAGTTTATTCAGATGTCAGACCGAACACATTACAAGAACAAAACTATGAAACCACATATTTTAAATGTTTATTACATGCTTTGCCCTGGATTCAAACTCATGACAACTGCATTCCAGATGTGAACATTATCCACAATCCAATCACTTGATGGAATGAATGTTTTACACGACATATTATATTTCCTCAGCTGCTTCTCTGTCAAAGCGGTTTCAGACCAACAGATTTCACTGTAGAGACACATTTGCTTTGACTGTTTCAGTTTTTCATGAATCCTCGCTCTGCCCACCACTATTCAAAACTATACAGAATTTACTGGAGATTTTTCAGGAGAAACATGATACCATGTTACAGAAATTACAGGAGAAATGTGAGGTCTTGCGATAGAAGACTGACCTGGGCCGGTGTCTCTTCTACAAAAATATGGATCATCATCGTCATCATCCAGAAAATGTTGCTCAGCATTTCCTTCTCTGCTTCCTTAAGGGGATTACAATGAACAAAGGTTTATTATTGTGAGATGAACAGGACCCATCATTTATAGCTTTAGCTTGTTTTTATTACACCATTCCAGCACCTCCATTCTTCAGCATAAACATTCCTTGAATCGCGTTCACCCCTGACCCCACCCACTTCCACTTACATGACTTAAACACACATTAAGCTACAGATATTATTTATTAGGGGTCTAAACCTTCACAGGTCTCATGGTTTTGTTTACAATTATCATGTCACTGATTTGATCTAATTCCACATCATGATGAATTCCATACACACAGTTTTTAATATTCCTACACATGAACACAATTTTGTTATTTAATACAAAACTACAAAAACAAAAACATTCAGATATACGAACTGAACTTTTAATTGGATCAGCTCAAAGAAAACATGCTTCCTGAATATATCCAACAAAACTCAAATATGGCAAGGTTTATACCACCCTTTCAAACTGATTACAATTTCATTTGGTTTGACCATGTTTATTCCATTGAGGTGTTTATATGAAGCATTTATCATTCGGATTAAACTTTTAAACCAATTTAAAGGCTCCATGTAAACACACCAACATTGTTTTTATCAAAGTAAACTGACCTGAGCTGGTGCCGGGTTCTTCAATTTCATCAGGAAACTGTGATGGTTCACTGCTTGCTGCCGGCATCAAGTCCTCCTGATCTTCATCCACCTGAGAAGCTTCTTCAACTAAAGTGGATTAAATATATAAAAAGTTTCATCATTTTTATAATATAAATACATTTCATATTCTAATTTTTATTTTATTTGAACAAGTGATTAGAATCTGTTACCGTTTCTTCAAACAAAAGTATTTTAAACTTTAAACTTTAACTTATTACCACAAGAATATTACATACAGTACAACAAAACCCAGTGGTAAAACCTACAAAAATGTGAATTTAATACCACATATTACCTGGAGAATATTACAGTACACAAAGTATTGTTGTAAATATTAAAAACACATTAAAGCAATACTAATAATTACTGCAAGAACATTACAGAAATATTACATGCAACAATACCTTACACAAAAACAACACAGTACTACACAATTACCACTCCAGTTTTTTGTTCTTCTATTTATCATATGGAATACCACAGGATATTTTTGTGAGAGATGGCTTTAAATTATTACACATGGCACTCTTTCTGAATCACAATCAGCAACGACAGTCATGTGATACTGCCTCAACTTAACAATCTGTATTTTAAGGACCAAATTGATCATAGTAGAATTGGAGAAATGAAGGGTCTTGTCATTGTAAACTGACCTGAGCTGGGGCTGGGTTCATCCCTTTCATCAGGGAACTGAGGTGGCAGCATCAAGTCCTCCTGATTTTCATCATCCTGAAAAGCTTCCTCGACTTTTCTTTTTCTGCCTCTGCGTCCTAAAGTGGAAAATATGGAAGGGTTAATTACAGATGATCACTTATTTTGGTAATCTGCATTCTAGAGCTGCACAATTCTGGCTAAAATGAGAATCGAAATTTTTTTTTTTGCCTAAAATAAAGATCAGGATTTTCTCACGAGTCTGTAGATGTAAAATAAAGGTTAATATGAGTGGGCTATGATTATTGTCATTCTCAAACATGTGGTAAAACAGCAATAGGCTTTGTGTATCTGTACTGTAAGTTAAAATGCTTAATTTTGTATAGACTTGGAATGGTGGACTTGAACAGACTTTAGATTTGTCCTGGTCATCAATGCTGATGATAGTTCTGATGTTGAATTATTGTGTCAGACATATGCTTACAATCTGTCGTTTTCTGCTTAAAATCTGTCACTGACGTCATTTTCGTGAATACAGAAGACTGGGTGGGTATTTTTTCAATTTGGCTGGTTTTGGATACTGTTTGGGCTGGCAACCCTGTGCACGCTTTCGGTTTCATTTTCACTACTAAGAGCGGTTCACTGCCCGCGCGACTTCCAAACGATCACTCTGTGCCACAAACTGTTATTTACAACTTTATTACCTGTTATTTACAGCTTATGCAGGTTCTGTTCACTAAGTAAACTTCACTCAGAGGCGTGCGCCCACATTCCCTCCCTTCCTTTGGTAACAGCTGACGGTCAGCTCACGTCACAAGTGATTTTGCAGTTGCAAATACATTACATGAAGAAAGAAATGACATTTTGAGTTGAATTGTATCTTATAAATACAGCATGTGACTTTTAACACCGTTTGGAGGTGTCCACGTTGCTGAATAACGTTTGTAAAACAATGTGAAGACTTGTGCGGCCATCATTGCTTCTCTCCTGAACTTGAAAATATGATTGACAGAATCGTAGAAATGCTGGATTAAGATCGTCTAGGGGGTCGAATCAAGATCGCAATCTTTTTATGATTAATTGCGCAGATCTACTGCGTTCATTCATATTACTACTCAGTACAGGGTGAACCTGATTAGCTTCGCAACGACCAATCTCTCAGCTGAATATTTGCAGAGGTAAATTACGAAATGAGGATCAGGCTATTTTGGCTATATGGGGGTTCCACATGATTTCACATCGAACTACTGGTTTTCACCCCTTTAGTGACTGCTTATTAAAATATAATCCAAACCGTTTGCTATACGCTCTTCTAGCGCTGGACTTTTAGAATTTCACTCTGTATTCCTGATGCGATCTGGCAGGACTATTTTAGGCTCTATGCTCCATAGGTTTGGAATTGTCTCCCAAATGAAGTGAAAGAATCCCCCAGCATTCATGATTTTAAAAAGCGTGTTAAGATTTTTACCAGATTTATGCTTTGAGTGTCAGTTTTGCACTCCATATGTGATTATTTATTTTTTTTATTATTATTATTAGACCCCCGCCAATTTCCACTCCCACAAACATCAGCCCCCCCCCCCCCCCCCCCCCCCCAACCCTAGCCCCAAACCACATGATCTGACTATCAGTCGAATACAGATAAGATTGGTAAATTAACATTTGACTATGTTAATCCTGATTCAGGGTCAGAACTACTACTTAGTTATTTATTTTTATTTACTAATTTTGTTTGGTTCTTTGTCATTTGATTAAAACACTTCACTCTTTACTTTACAAAGTGGAATTTTAAGCACCAAAAATAAATTTTATTCACAATTTACTCTCACTCAGGTGGTTCTAAACCTTTATGTTTACTTTTTCTGGTAAACTCAAAAGAATATATTTTGAAGAAAGCTGAAACTCTCTAACCAATGACTTCCACAGCAGGAAAACAAACACTATGGAATTCAATGAAGACAGATTTCCAGCTTTCTTTAAAATATCATCATTTTTGGTTGACAGAAAAAAAAGAAAATCATAAAGGTTTGGAACAAGTATATAATTATGTTTTTTTCACCTTTTACTGGGATAGAATAGTGGAGGACAGACAGGAAAGTATTAGGACCAGAGAGAGGGGAAGGGTCAGCATAGGTCCTCGAGTCAGTTATCGAACTCGGGTCGCCATGAGCACCATGGTGCTATATGACGGCACACTTAACCACTAGGCTATTGGCACCGACTGGTTTGGAACAAGTTAAGTGTGAGAAAATGATGACAGAATTTTTGGTGAAGTATATAGCTTCCTTTTTCAATTTCTATTCATATACATACTAATTTCTTATTCACCTTGTTTTTGTAAGTTTCTGCAAATACCCACACTGATGTTGGTTCTATATTTTCTAAATCTCTTGTGCTCTTATTGAAATAGTCTCTAACCTGAAGGTTATCTCAGTTACATGTATTTGAAAGTTGTTGGAAACTTTTCAGTTCATTGTCAGCAGTGATGAGACAGAAAACTGTCTCTTTATTGAAAGTGGAGCTAAAGAAAAGTGTGTTTTGTGGAAGTAAACTGACCTGAGCTGGTGCTGGGTTCTTCACTTTCATCAGGGAACTGTGTTGGTTTATGCTGTGTTGCCGGCATCAAGTCCTCCTGATCTTCATCATCCTTAAAAGCTTCCTCCATTTTTCTTTTTCCTGCTGAACAAAATAAATTTACCACAAATAAAGTATATCTCTTTAACGAAGCTGAAGAAAAGTGTGTTCTTGTGGTAGTAAACTGACCAGAGCTGGTGCTGGGTTCTTCACTGTCATCAGGGAACTGTGTTGGTTTATGGCGTTTTGCCGGCATCAAGTCCTCCTGATTTTCATCATTCTGAAAAGCTTTCTTGGCTTTTCTTTTTCTGCCTCTGCATCCTAAAATGGATCAAAATATGGAAGTTATTTAAAGATGATCACTTATTTTGGTAATCTGCATTCATTCATTACTACTCAGTAACTTCGCAACTACCAATCTCTCAGTCGAATATTTGCAGAGGTAAATTATGAAATGAGGATCAGGCCATTTTGGCTATTAAGGGGTTCCGCAATGTCTGATTTCACATCGAACCACTGGTTTTCTCCCCCTCAGTCGGTATATAGCATGCGTTCATGTAATTAATGCTGTAACTGAAAATAAAAATGTTTTTGGTAAATATTTTGACATGCTTGAACAAATTCACCCTCCTTGACATTTAAGTTTCACTCTCCATGATCTGTGACTGTCAGACAAGCATCTAGGCAGCAGGGATTTAATCTTTCACAATATCTGTTATATTTTATAATATTTTCAACTATTAATAATGTGAAGGCACTTTCAAATGGTAAAAGATTAACCAAAAAAAGAAGCAGGGAGTGTCAATAGTTCATGTCACATCACTCAACAACAACTAACACTTCAAACTGTTTTTGTGTGTGTGTGTGTGTGTGTGTGTGTATGTGTGTGTGTGTTTGTTAACCAACAAGAATCTCACAATACGTTTGGCTTATTTTACTTGTACAATATTTATATTCTCAGTGTTGATTTCATCAATGAAAACAGCTTGACACAAGCAGAATCTGACAGGTCTGCTGCACCATGCAACTTGCCTGAAAGCATGGGCTCTGAACTCTGGATCTAATGAAGGAATTGCTCAAAGTAGTGGTTTATAACATAAATGAATTCTGGTTATTTTATATCTTTTTATCTACATTTTAGTCTCCTGATTCTTTGTCTACAATAATGCTTTGCCTATTCTGTGGATGAGCAGATCAGGGCATGTGCATTCATAGCTTCAGTCTCATTATCAGCATATCTGTTTGTGTCAAGCTGTGTATAGGCAACAAACAATTTCAGCATCTTCACTTTTGGCTGAACTATTTCTTTTTTTATATATGAAGGGCTCAGATGCAAAAGCCGCTTAACGTCACTTCCGCCAAAAATGAGCTAAAGACATAAAGCAAATGCTTTAGGCACATAGTACATGTTCATCTAAATCCCAGCATCCACACATTCAGAAATAACAGTTTGTTTGCAAAAGCCTCTAAACGCCACTTGCCTTTGACAGCAAAACCCGCTATGTCCCGAGAACCAATCAGAAGCTGTGAATCGAATCATGTTTTCAATGTAACAGCGCTCTGATACGCGGGCTTTTATGAGCAGACTGTTTTATTAATTTAGATTTTAAAAGATGGAGTTTGATGAAGTTCATGAGCCTGTCTGAATGTCAGTGAATGGCAAATGAAAATGTCCCTTGCCTCAAAACGCTGTGCATTATAAGAAAAAGAAAACACACTTTACAGTCAGAAGTGCAGCATGCATTCATGTTTTTTACGCAGTGACGCTACTTTAAATGAATCTGAATTACTTTACATTAAACGGCAACATTGTTTCACGAAAGAAGTTAAGATAATGATAAGAATTAAGAAATGATAATGTTAAGATGTAAGTAATGTCAATTTTAATGTTATTGATTAATGCACTTACTTGACAGATTTCCTTATAGTCCCTGGTTTATCAGGGGTTACCACAGCGGAATGAACTGCCACTTACTTGACAGATTTCTGTATTTTTAATTTTAGGAGGTTTGTGTATGTGTTTATTGTTTGGTAAAATAATTTCTAATTGCTTCTTTAGTGATTTTGCAACAAATTATACTTTTTTGTCCCAATTTGTGGATTTACAGGGTTTTGCATAAAAAGCACAAGTGGATTTAGCTGGTTTTAACGCAAAAGAAAATATACCTTGTTAAAAACCAAAGAATTGTCTAAAGTGACATTTTTGAAAAAAAAAAAGTTATTTCATTTACTAGCCAATAACCTTTTCATTATCTAGAAAATGACTCGTTTGAACCTAATTATAGGTGTTTGATAGAAAATGCTTATTACAAAAAAAGTGGTCTGATGGGTTTAGAGGGTTTTGCATCTGGACTCTTCATATATATCTTTACTGGATACAATCTTATTTAAATTCCTAAGCAGTGTTTCCTGTAGGATTTTTTCCAGCTGTGAAAGCAGGCCTTTTTTATACAGATCTACCAACTACCTGTGGCGTTATTACAATGACAAATGTCGTGAGCGCAGTATTACAACTTGAGATCGCATTTATGTAATAGCCTTCAAGCATGCCAATCTTTTTTCTTGCGCGCTGATTTCCTCTGCTCATGCACAAAACTTCTTGCACAACCCCTCAAATCTGCTGCTCAAGTGCAGATCTTCTTGTGCGTTCTCAAATAAACAATGCTGAAGAACGATATAGTGCATTTATTTAACAAGTATGTCTCCAATATTTATTACATTTGCTAGGAATATTTTTGAAGACCTACAGAGCGGTATTAATTTGTCCTGAAGTAAAGTGAAACAGCTATACATCGTGTTTGCTGGCCTCACACATCACGCACCTGTCAGTCAGTCAGCCAGCACGTAACCTTAAAGGGTTAAACAAATGACGCACAGCACTACTAGCAGTGTAATAAGGAGATATGTATAATTTTTTGTTATTTTGAAGGATTATTTTCCATGTACATAGTTTTAAAATTACATTCCAGATTCAATCCCATTATTGTTTTTATCTCTATTTTCAGATCTTGCCAAAATGTGTGAATAATATTACAATATTAAACTATGTGAAAATGATCAGCCATTGCATTTCCACATTTTCTCCATCATTCACCATTTTTTATTACAAGTTGGAAAATATTTATTTTTTCCAAATAAATTCCCTTGAATCTGGGTTAATTGTGATCATCTGTGTTTTCCACATAGATAACCATACCTCTTTTCTTATAATTACATTAGCTTCCTTTTCCCATTTCTATTTGATATACATGGCTGAGTGTTTCTTTGCTGATGTCAGACAGGAATAGTTTATTGATACTAATTTCTTATTCACCTTCTTTTTGTAAGTTTCTGCAAATACCCACACTGATGTTGGTTCTATATTTTCTGAATCTCTTGTGCTCTTATTGAAATAGTCTCTAACCTGAAGGTTATCTCAGTTACATGTATTTGAAAGTTGTCGGAAACTTTTCAGTTCATTGTCAGCAGTGATGAGACAGAAAACTATCTCTTTACTGAAAGTGGAGCTAAAGAAAAGTGTGTTTTGTGGAAGTAAACTGACCTGAGCTGGTGCTGGGTTCATCACTTCCATCAGGGAACTGTGTTGGTTTATGCTGTGTTGCCGGCATCAAGTCCTCCTGATCTTCATCATCCTTAAAAGCTTCCTCCATTTTTCTTTTTCTGCCTCTGCCCCCTAAAGTGGATTAAATACAATAAACTTTTTATTCAATTTTTATAATGTAAATAAATGTGATATTCTATGTTTTATTAACATTTTCTTAGAAAACAATGACAAGTGATTATAATCTGTAACAGAGTTTCTTCAAACCAAAAGACATTGTGGTTGCTTCTGTGTATTATATATTAGTTGTATATAGTTGTGTCATTGAATGGATGCAAATGTGTTCTTGTGGTAGTAAACTGACCTGAGCTGGTGCTGGGTTCTTCACTTTCATCAGGGAACTGTGTTGGTTTGCGGCGTGTTGCCGGCATCAAGTCCTCCTGATCATCATCATCCTGAAAAGCTTTCTTGGCTTTTCTTTTTCTGCCTCTGCGTCCTAAAATGGATTAGATACAACAAACGTTTTATTTTCAAATTATAAATAGATTTGATGTTTTATACTTAATTAACATTTTCTTAGAAAACAACGACAAGTGATTATAATATGTAACAGTTTCTTCAAACCAAAAGACATTGTGGTTGCTTCTATGCATTTTATATAGTTGTGTCATCGAATGGTTGCAAATCCCAATTTAACATTCCTATTCATGATATATCTCTAACAAAAATGGGCTTTAGTGATCCTGCTGTCCTGCTGAACAAACTAAATTTACCACAGAACAGTATTTCTCTTTAACGAAGCTGAAGAAAAGTGTGCTCTTGTGGTAGTAAACTGACCTGAGCTGGTGCTGGGTTCTTCACTGTCATCAGGGAACTGTGTTGGTTTGCGGCGTGTTGCCGGCATCAAGTCCTCCTGATCATCATCATCCTGAAAAGCTTTCTTGGCTTTTCTTTTTCTGCCTCTGCATCCTAAAGTGGATCAAAATATGGAAGGGTTAGTTATTAGGGATGTAACGGTATCAGAATTTCACGGTACGGTAATACCTCGGTATGAATGTCATGGTACGGTATTTATTGAATCATTTACAGGAAAAAACAAAACTTATGAAAATACTCCAAAAAAGTGCCAAAAGTGTCAATGACATACAAATTAGCCATCTATCTGTAAGCTTTGAAACAGGAACTTCAATTTTAATAACAAAAAAATATTAAACCATGTAAAAAAAATTAAGTTTCAATTTAGTATTGTTGAAAACTCATCACATTCAACATTTAATCACTCACTCACTTAGATAGAGATGGGTTTTAAGGAAAATTATCATATAACTATAATCTGGTAAAAGCTGGTATCTCTGGGTATTTACAATGTCCCCTACAACAGAAAAAAACCCTCTCATTTGGGACTGAGGTTTCTGGGACAGAGAGATATGACTTGGCCCAGGTTGACAGCAGTGGGTAACGTTGTGCATTGTCTTTCCCCCACTTGAGAGGACAAACCATGAGCGCGACAACACAGCTGATAAGAACTCGCGCGACAACACAGCTGATAAGAACTCGCGCGACAACACCACTATTCAGTACGCGCGCGGCGACAACACCCAGCTCTTTTTCATCCCCGCTTCTAGCAGCACACTCCATTTCCGCATTACTGGATCTGTAGCGACAACAGACCGCAAGGGATTATGGCCAAGCCTGGGCTGATGGGAATTGTAGTTTCCGGTACCTCCCGTTCGCTTCATTCGCCTGAGCAAATTTTCTCAGAAGACCTATAGTTTTACCGAGTCATGCGACTACGGTAATATCGGAAAAATTTATATTGCGGTATGACGGTATTTACAATACCATTACATCCCTATTAGTTATAGATGATCACTTATTTTGGTAATCTGCATTCATATTACTACTCGGTATAGGGTGACCCCGAATAGTCGCAGCTTAGCAACTACCAATCTCTCAGTATATTTGCAGAGGAAAATTACGAAACGAGGATCAGGCCATTTGGCAATATGGGGGTTCCTCAATGTCTGATTTCACATCGAACGACTGGTTTTCTCCCCTTAAGTTGATATATAGCCTGTTTTTACACCAACTTCTACCAGATTTATGTTTTTCTGCATGTCATGTTTTACTCACAATTTACTCCTCCTCAAGTGGTGTCGAACCTTTATGAGAGTATTATTACTAAAAGAATATATTTTGAAGAAAGCTGAAACCCTCTAATCATTGACTTCCACAGCAGGAAAACAAATACTATGGAATTCAATGAAGACAGGTTTCCAGCTTTCTTCAAAATATCATCTATTTTGGTTGACAGAAAAAAGAAAATACAAAAGGTTTGGAACAAGTAAAGCGTGACTAAATGATGACAGAACTTTCATTTTTGGTGAAGTATATCTCTTTAACAAAGCTGTAGAAAAGTGTGTTCTGGTGGAAGTAAACTGACCTGAGCTGGTGCTGGGTTCTTCATTGTCATCAGGGAACTGTGTTGGTTCACAACGTTTTGCCGGCATCAAGTCCTCCTGATCATCCTGAAAAGTCACCTCGAGTTTTCTTTTTCTGCCTCCTAAAGTGGATTAGATACAATAATTTTTTTTTTATATAAAATTTTGTTAACATAAATAGATTTTATAATCTTTATTGTATTAAGATTTTCTTTAAAAACAATTAACAAGTGATTATATCTGAGACAGAGTTTCTACAGACAAAATAATTTTTTAGACACTGTAATTGCTTTTAAGTATTTTACACATTTCGCATAAACCCAATTTAACACTTTAAGTTGGGATTTAGTGGGGCTTTTCTGATCCTACTGTCCTGCTGAACAAAATAAATTTACCACAGAACAAATAAGCTGAGCAAAATATGACAGGATCACCACAGCACTTTCTGTAGTGGAGTATCACAACAATTTAGAGCTATGCATGTGATTTTTCTGTTGTTTTCATGAGGCAATATTAACTCATTACACTCAAAAAAAGGAAACAAGCTACTTGTTGGATTTGCAAAACAGAAACGTGTCTTATGGAAAAGAATAGAACGAGTTTAGTTCTGTTAAATGATTTATTCTAGTTGTTTGAAACTAAATGAAGAAATAATCAAATGAATTAGATAAGAGCTTGTTCATTCAAAGAGATTTAAGCTTTTTCTGTTGTTTTCATGTGGCAATATCAACTCATTACCACAAGAATCCAGGAATATTACATACAGTACAACAAAACCCTGTGGTAAAAGCTACAAAAATGTTAAATTATTACCACATTAACCTAGACACTACTACAGTACACAAAATATTGTTGTAAAAATTACAAACATATTAAAGCAATACTATTAATTACTGTAAGAACATTACAGAAATATTACATGCAACAATACCTTACACAAAAACAGCACAGTACTACACAATAACCACTCCAGTTTTTTTGTTTTTCTGTTTTATCATATGGAATACCACAGGATATTTTTGTGAGAGATGGCGATGGTAACGACAGTCATGTGATATTGCTCAACTTAACAAACTGTATTTTAAGGACCAAATTTATCATAGTAGGATTGGAGAAATGAAGGGTCTTGTCATGGTAAACTGACCTGAGCTGGTGCTGGGTTCTTCACTGTCATCAGGGAACTGTGCTGGTTTATGGCGTTTTGCCGGCATCAAGTCCTCCTGATCTTCATCATCCTGAAAAGCTTTCTTGGCTTTTCTTTTTCTGCCTCTGCATCCTAAAGTGGATCAAAATATGGAAGGGTTAATTACAGATGATCACTTATTTTAGTAATCTTCATTCATTCATTACTACTTGGTATAGGATGACCCTAAATAGTCAAAACTTTGCAACGACCAATCTCTCAGTTGAATATTAACAGAGGTAAATTATGAAATGAGGATCAGGCCATTTTGGCTATATGAGGGTTCCTCAATGTCTGATTTCACATCGAACTACCGGCTTTCTCCCCTTAAGTTAATATATATTGCCTGTTGTTTTACCAATTTTTGCCAGATTTATGCTTTTTTGAGTGCTAGTTTTGCACTCCATATGTCTTTTTTTTTTAATGATTATTATCAGACTCCCGCCAATCTCCACTCCCACAAACACCAGCCCTCCTCAACCCCGACAGGAAAAAAATACTATGGAATTTAATGAAGACAGGTTTCCAGCTTTCTTCAAAATATCATCTTTTTTTGGTTTAACGAAGCTGTAGAAAAGTGTGTTCTTGTGGTAGTAAACTGACCTGAGCTGGGTTCATCACTGTCATCAGGGAACTGTGATGGTTTACGGCGTTTTGCCGGCATCAAGTCCTCCTGATCATCCTGAAAAGTCACCTGGAGTTTTCTTTTTCTGCCTCCTAAAGTGGATTAGATACAAAATTTGGTTTTCATAAAATGTTCATAACATAAATAGATTTTATCATCTTTATTGTATTCAAATGTTCTCTGTGACAGAGTTTTTTCCAGACAAAAGGATTTTTTAGACACTGTGGTTGTTTGTAGGCATTTTACACATTTGTGTAATTGAACGGTCGCATAAACCCAATTTAAACTTTAACTTGGGCTTCAGTGGGGCTTTACTGATCCTACTGTCCTGCTGAACAAAATTAATTTACCACAGAACAAATAAGCTGAGCAAAATATGGCAGGATCACCACAGCACTTTCTGTAGTGGAGTATCACAACAATTTAGAGTTATGCATGTGATTTTTCTGTTGTTTTCATGTGCTAATATCAATTTATTACCACAAAATTCCAGGAATATAACATACAGTACAACAAAACCCTGTGGTAAAATCTACAAAAATGTTAAATTATTACCACATTAAAATGGACACTACTACAGTACACAAAGTATTGTTGTAAAAATTACAAACATATTAAAGCAATACTACTAATTACTGTAAGAACATTACAGAAATATTACATGCAACAATACCTTACACAAGAACAGCACAGTACTACACAATTACCACTCCAGTTTTTTGTTCTTCTATTGATCATATGGAATACCACAGGATATTTTTGTGAGAGATGGCTTTAAATTATTACCCATGGCACTCTTTCTGAATCACAATAATTAACAACAGTCATGTGATAGTGTTCGACTTTACAATCTGTATTTTAAGGACCAAATTGATCATAGTAGAATTGGAGAAATGAAGGGTCTTGTCATGGTAAACTGACCTGAGCTGGTGCTGGGTTCTTCACTGTCATCAGGGAACTGTGCTGGTTTATAGCGTTTTGCCGGCATCAAGTCCTCCTGATCTTCATCATCCTGAAAAGCTTCCTTGGCTTTTCTTTTTCTGCCTCTGCATCCTAAAGTGGATCAAAATATGGAAGGGTTAATTATAGATGATCACTTATTTTGGTAATCTGCATTCATTCATTACTACTCGGTATAGGGTGACCCTAAATAGTCAAAACTTTGCAACTACCAATCTCTCAGCTGAATATTAAAAGAGGTAAATTATGAAATGAGGATCAGGCCATTTTGGCTATATGGGGGTTCCTCAATGTCTGATTTCATATCGAACTACCGGCTTTCTCCCCTTAAGTTGATATATATTGCCTGTTGTTTTACCAATTTTTACCAGATTTATGCTTTTTGAGTGCTAGTTTTACACTGCATATGTAATTAGTTTTTTTTTTTTTAATAATTATTATCAGACTCCCGCCAATCTCCACTCCCACAAACACCAGCCCCCCTCAACCCAGACAGGAAAACAAATACTATGGAATTCAATGAAGACAGGTTTCCAGCTTTCTTCAAAATATCATCTATTTTGGTTGACAGAAAAAAAGAAAATAAAAAAGGCTTAGAACAAGTAAAGTGTGAGTAAATGATGACAGAATAAAAAATTTTGGTGAAGTATATCTCTTTAACAAAGCTGTAGAAAAGTGTGTTCTTGTGGAAGTAAACTGACCTGAGCTGGTGCTGGGTTCTTCATTGTCATCAGGGAACTGTGATGGTTTACGGCGTTTTGCCGGCATCAAGTCCTCCTGATCATCCTGAAAAGTCACCTGGAGTTTTCTTTTTGTGCCTCCTAAAGTGGATTATATACAAAATTTGTTATTCATGAAATGTTCATAACATAAATAGATTTTATCATCTTTATTGTATTAAAATGTTCTCTGTGACAGAGTTTTTTCCAGACACTGAGGTTGTTTGTAGGCATTTTACACATTTGTGTAATTGAACGGTCGCATAAACCCAAACCGACCTGAGCTGGTGCTGGGTTCATCACTGTCATCAGGGAACTGTGCTGGTTTATGGCGTTTTGCCGGCATCAAGCCCTCCTGATTTTCGTCATCCTGGAAAGCTTCATCGACTTTTCTTTTTCTGTCTCTGCTTCCTAAAGTGGATTAAATACAATAAACCTTTTATTCAATTTTCGCAACATAAATAGATTTTATATTCTTTATGGTATTAAAATGTTCCTAGATGACAATGACAAGTGATTATCTGTGACATACTTTCTTTAGTGGAGTATCACAACAATTTACAGTTATGCATGTGATTTTTCTGTTGTTTTCATGAGGCAATATATCAACTCATTGCCACAAGAATACAACAGGAATATTACATACAATACAAAACGTCCTGTGGTAAATACTACAAAAATGTGAAATACCACATTTTACCTGGAGAATATTACAGTACACAAAATACTGTGGTAAATACCAGAGATATATGAAAGTTATACAGTTCATTACAGGAATATTACATACAACAAAACTACACGACAAATACAACACAGTACTAGACAATTACCACTGCAGGTTTTGTGTATTTTGTGTATAACTGTATTTTAAGGACCACATTTATTAAATTAGAACTGGAGAAATGAAGAGTCTTGTCATAGTAAACTCACCTGAGCTGGTGTTTTCTGCCTCAGGGCGGAAACAATTGCTTGTTTCCCCCTTAAAAAAAACAATCATTTTCCAAATGTACTCCATTTCTGTTAGTTTCAACAACAAGTAAATATGGAAATTCAAAATAGCAAAGCTGATAAATCTCGATAATTCTCGCACTGAGCTTCTTTCACAAACTCGATCTAACAGCTGTAAATACTTTTTGTTCTTGAACTAATTGGAAGATTACTACTGAAAACTGTGTGTGTGTGTGCGCCTGTGAACCCCGCGTTCTGTAACGTCATTATTAGAACGCGGGTTCCCAAGGTGATCCAAGATGGTTGTGATGTAGGTAATCGTCATTATTTTTCAGGGTTTCAAAGGTGAAGTGTTATGTTAACCCACTGCTTAATATCAGAGATTCATTCATTCATTCACTTTTCGGTTTAGTCCCGGTAATAACATTATACAAATAAGTGTGGACGTTGTATAAGTTTTTGACATACTGGCTGCAGGGGTAAAATTGATACCCGTCACAGCTAAATGCGCCTGCCACGGTTAACGTAAATGCGGCCGCCTATGGCAAGCCTTTTTAGCATTTCAACCTTTATTCTTACTATCTATAAATATATTTAAATATATTTCTAATTATATTTTGACGAGTGATAATTATAATTTGACTAGTCAGAATGAAAATTAGAAATTCGAGATCTCTGTAAATGTATTTTGACTAGTCAAAACTTAATGAAGATATCTCTAATGATGTTGTGGATATCTCTAAAATATGCGTCATGTATCCGTGTATATATATAATGGTAATTAGAGATACCTATAACCGTTTCGACTAGTCACAATTATAGTTGACGATATTTGCATTGTATATTTAACTATATATATATATATATATATATATATATATATATATATATATATATATATATATATATAAACAGATGCAACTGTCTCGGATAAAAAAAAAACTGTATTATGAACTTATATTTATGAACTTATTATAATTTTACGGCATGAAAAACTCCAGTATAAAAGGAAGCTGAATATTTTATAGTACAAAAAGAGCTGTATTATCAATAATTGTATCTCCTTTATCACAAGTAGAGCTGGAATCCTCTTTCCATGTACGTTGTGAAGTGTTAAGAGTTGCTCCAGATCTTACCTCTTGAAGAGAGAGTTGACAGTAAACAATAGCAAACAATAATGTACAGCAGTAGGCCATCTATATAAAAGTGAATAAAAACGTTAATAAAAAAGAATGAATTACACATTATTAAAATAGTACAAATTCTATACAATATTATAGAATAAAATAATACATTATATTTTAAAAGATAAATAATAGCAATACAATATAAAATAGTATGTGCATATCTATGTAAACTATAATCATAGTATGAATAATACTATATTAGTATTCATAACTATAATAGGTTTTCCTACTATTATAATATTAAAATAGTAGTGGAATTACAACAAATAATATGATATAGGCAGATACCAAATATACTGTGTAGCAGGTAAAACATAGTGTGTAGCAGGATTGCATAAAACTTAAAACCTCAGATATTCAGACACGTGACATGATTCTAAACCAATATACAACATTTAAAGTCCTTCAAGTTTTGTCATTGTACCACTAGATGACAGCAAAAGAGCACTTATTACAGACAATCTATGGGTAAAACACTGTTATTGCATTTTAAATCAAACTTAGTCCAATCTTACCATTCAAGGTTTTTTATTCCACTTATGAAATTATATTTAATTACACTGAAAGCTGATTATTCTGTATATACATTTCAACAAAAGGTCTTGAAGGTCTTGTTAACATTTTGTTACCTATTCTTTGGTTTAAATATCTATGTGTGACACAAAATGTGTGTAAGCATGATTAATGACTATTATTAAAATAAAAGATTTCTGTTTATTTTTTTCTCCATGTCAACATTGTTATTTGT